TGTCCCTCAGGGACTGGTGTTGGGACCAGTCTTGTTCAACATCTTTGTAGGTGACATGGACAGTGGGATTGAGTGCGCCCTCAGCAAGTTTGCCGATGACACCAAGCTGTGTGGTTCGGTTGATTCACTGGAGGGAAGGAATGCCATCCAGAGGGACCCTGACACACTTGTGAGGTGGGCTGATGCCAGCCTTATGCAGTTTAACCATGCCAAGTGCAAGGTCCTACACCTGGGTGGGAGCAATCCCAGGCACAGCTACAGGTTGGGCAGAGAAGAGATTCAGAGCAGCCCTGCAGAGAAGGACTTGGGGGTGTTGGTTGATGAGAAAATGAACATGAGCCAGCTTCAGTGTGCGCTCGCAGCCCAGAAAGCAACCGTATCCTGGGCTGCATCAAAAGGAGCGTGACCAGAAGGTTGAAGGAGGTGATCCTGCCCCTCTACTCTGCTCTTGTGAAACCTCAATACCTTGGAGTATTGTGTGCAGTTCTGGTGTCCTCAACATACAAATGACATGGAACTGTGGGAACAAGTCCAGAGAAGGGCCACGAGGATGATCAGGGGACTGGAGCACCTCCCATATGAAGAGAGGCTGAAAAAGTTGGGGCTGTTCAGCCTGGAGAAGAGAAGGCTTCGTGGAGACCTCATAGCAGCCTTCCACTATCCGAAGGGGGGCTATAGGGATGCTGAGGAGGGACTCTTCTTTAGAGACTGTAGTGATAGGAGAAGCGGTAAGAGGTTCAGACTTAAACAGGGGAAGTTTAGATTGGCTATAAGGAGGAAATTCTTTCCTGTTAAGTTGGTGAGGCACTGGAATGGGTTGCCCAGGGAAGCTGTGAATGCTTCATCTCTGGTGTTGTTCAAGGCCAGGCTGGACAGAGCCTTGGGTGGTATGGTTTAGTGTGAGGTGTCCCTGCCCATGGCAGGGGAGTTGGAACTAGATCATCTTAAGGTCGTTTCCAACCACAACTATTCTATGATTCTATGAGTCTATGATTTTATGATCCTATGATAAATCACCTATTAAGCTGTCTAAGCAGTTGTCCTAACTCACCAGTGAATTTCACCCTTTGTGCATGAAATAAGCATGAGGGCACTGAGGCAATGCACACAGGCCATTACTGTAGCTTTTAACAAAGTGCTGTGTTATCTCTCCTCAAAACAAATCAATTCCATAGCCTGGAGGTCAGGCAGAGCCCGGAGCCTGTCATATGCTGATTCAGTGCAGTGTTAGCACTACTGCACTTGCTGAGAGAACCCTGCCAAATGCTACAATCCAAAAGGAGCTCAGCGGCTCCTCCATTCAGCTGGGCTTCAGAACAGCTTCTACTCTGCAAGGAGAAACCAAGATTCATTTTCTCCTTGTGAATAGAAAGGCATTCCCTCAGGCTTCTAATTTGGTGCAAAGTCACAAATAAGAGGCAGCAATTCTGCATCACAAACAGTAAAGAGTTCAGTTTGGTTTAACTATGTGATAGGCATCAGATGAATAAGTTAAGCTTCTGAGTGAAATTTCTAAAATGAAAATAAATTATCATGATTTTTCATCTAGTAAGTCCAAAAATACTCAATTACTTTATTTAGCTACCTGGAGTGTTTTCTGGTTCCATAATGAATTCCTTCTGGCATAAAGTTTATTGGCTTGCATTTTGAGGAATTCTGAACTATTCTCAGATTCAAAAGCACCCATAATTTACTTAGATTACCTAATTGTTATAAAACTAGAAAAAAACTTAGTAATTACAAGAAGCTCAAAGAAATCCAAATTTTTTAGTTTTAGTGTAGAAATTGTGTCCTGGAGCGGCCTTTTCTCTACAAAGGAGTGTTTGTAAGGGGCTGTTAGTATATTTCTTTCTCAAAAGGACCAACCCAACACTTGAAACCTTAAACACGAGCTGCGATAAAATGGTCACCAACTCAATTCATGTTCCCTATGACAGGAACAGCAAACAAGTAGTGATGCTGAACTGATGCCTGCCTGCCATTTCTATTAGTGAACACTATATGCTTGCACAGGTCTATTTGTTTTCCAAGGGCTAGCAAGGATTAAGAGGATCAGGATCAGTCTTATAATAAAATACCCTTAAAGATTTATTTCACCACCCTCAAGGTATATCGGGTTTTAGTCTCATAACCTTGATAATATACTTTTGGAGGCTGATATGCCACTCTTGTCTTCTCATGCATAGCTACTGCAGCACAAATGGACCTGGTACTGCAGGCTGGTTCCCAGTGCATGTGCTCTGGTAACCCACACATCACACATCAGGGTCCTCGGCACAATGGAGAATAAAAAGCAGAGTTCCTGTTTCTTTCCAGAAGACAGGATAAATTGAAAATAAGCATGTGCAGACCCAAGAACTGGGCAGGAGGACTCAGAATCCTATGTATGGCAAAAAAAAAAAAAAAAAAAAGGTGAGCTTTCTGTTTTGTTTCAAACACTGTTGAGTGCTTATTTATTTTAGCTCTTGGACTTTCTGTCTAGATTGATGAAACTTTGTCAATCAGTCAAGATAAAGAGGGTAGAAGTGTATTCAAAGCAGTCAACGCAAGAGAAAGAAGGATGGACTTGGCGCTCACACACCTGACACTGAGAAGCTGTCATCTGAAATCAGTTTGTAACCCTGGTGGCTGCTCAACTGCACCTCAGAGCCTGGTTCCCCGTGCCCTTCCTCAGCCTGTTTTTCTGGCTGCTGACTTGGGATTTCTCGTTTGTGCCATACCCCTGAAATAAGCGCAATGAACCCAGGGACAGCCTGTCAGAGTGAGCTGCTTATATCCCTGCTGAAGTCTGTCTGGAGAGGAAAGTGTGCATTAAACAATTTTTCACACATTTTTGATATTTCCTTCTTTTTCTAACAATGGATTTCTGAAGGTTATATGGGTTTAGGAATTGTTGCAACTAATGAATAATATGACTAAGTCAATAAGAAAGTAAAGATTTTTTTCAGATGTAGATTATTGATTTTTGAAATTCTAGGGGCTCCTTCAAAGTCATTAGCGTTTGTCATGTGAATATGCTAGTAAGGACTTCTATAAATGAAGATTAATGATGCTAGGGATAATTATCACTGGAGAAATTCATATTTTTCAGTATTTGGAAACTTCATTCAAAGGTGAACTGCATCAGTTCTCCTTGAATGGACCTTAGCTTCATTTCTATTATAAGAGTAGGGGGAAGATTTTCTGTGACACAAGAGTTAGTTAAACTCCCACTATCTGGAAGTCAAAGTTAGTTGAGCTGCGTAACTCTGATTTGTGCTTCATAAAATAATCCCCCATATACAGTGAGTGCAACTGATTTGAAGATCTACTAAATCTGAAAGCCAAAATCCTTCTGAATATTTTTCTTTCCAAAAGAATCTGAACATGTACAATAACTGCTTTCCCAAATTAAACACTCAAGTCATGATGCTCATTATTATTGCTCCCTGCAAGACTTCATATATTTTGCTAAAGGTGTGAAGAGCTACAAATTAAAGGAAGAACCCACATTTTTTGTTAACTTGCAGGGATGTAAGGAAGTCCCTACAGCTAATAACCTGATTTCATAGGGGAGCTCATGTGCATATTTTTTTAATCTGAAAACATCAAATTCAATATTTCTTAAGTTATTTCTACTCTAAGGATGGGGCTGAAATGCCAGGTACTGTTCAGATAATTAATGGTATAGCTCTGCTGGGGTTTCCCTTGCATGAATATATCTGGAAAGCTACAATTGGTGGGGTATCATTTGATTCTCAGTTACGAAGCACTAATTCCCCAAAGATTCCTTACGATCATAATTTGTCTCCATGAAATACTTGGTGACGAGTTTTATCCATCAGGGTTTTTTTAAAAACAAACAAAAAAGTAGCAAGCATAGCTTGGCCAACTCTGAATTCAATTAAGACAAACACAGCTTGACCAGCCCTTGTGGATGGAATCAAAATGCTCTGGAGGTGGGCTTTCTGATTATTAAAGAAAGACAATCAAAGGCGAAAGAATTCTGAATCCAGGCTAGAAGTGTTGGCTCTTTTCCAGTAGCCAACTAAACTGGCAAGCCACAGCATAAATGCATATTCTGGTTTGGAGGGGGAACAAAAGCTGAGCAAAGGGTGTCAGCATGGTTCCTGTCTGGCATGATGCCCATCTTTTGCGGCCTGAAGGACCACATCAGAATACGTTTTGTCGGCAGCCAATCTAACTCGCTGAAAGACTTTGCAGAAAGTGCCTCTGTTTCCTGAAGTCCTTAATATGTGAGGTATTTTTAAAAAGCTATCTTCACACAGGAGAAAAATATCTAGCAGCCAGATATGTAAAATATCTGACATGAAATCCTGTCATCAGAGGGAACATTATAAAACGTACATGAACACAGAGAGATGAAATGACTGGTTTTATTGGAATCCTTTCCCATGATTTAACTCCTTAGATCTTGGAAATGTTCTTGTTCCGCTCTTAATTTACCCAAGCTGTTAAGAGCTTATTCTTGTCTTGAGTAATGAGATAAACAGCCAATAGACACTATATAAAGATGAGAAGAAGACTTCAAAATCACTGCAGATCACATTTCAAGTTATATCAGTCTTTAAGAAGATATTAGTACATGAATCTAGAGACCTTGTTTCTTGCACAGGTTTACAGAAACACACAGAAAAAAAGATTGTTTCTTTCTAATGTTCATTCCAGGAATTCATTTGTAGCACATGTATGTGTATCTATTTTTATGAGACGAGCAGTATTCATTGTTTGATTTTTTTACATTACCATCTTTTTTTACCATCATTACAAAATGACCTGAAATCAGAGAATGCTGAAAATGGGACTGATATACTTAAATTCTCAAGTAATTAATAAAAGTCTGACCATTGAAAAGATTCCTCCTTTGGTACTGGTTAGAGGACCAATACAAGGAGGCAAAAATACACATAAGGAAAAAGTTCACATAACTGGACACTTCTGAATTTGTAGACAGAGGCCACAGATATGGCAGTATAATAGAACAGAACTGAATTTCTTACCTTTATGATGATTTGCTCCAGATGCTAATTTCCCCCACAGCGTTACAACAAATATTATTATTAGCAGTTTTCCTTTTGTTGCTTTCTGTAAGTATCTCTTATTCATCCTGAAAACAAAAATGCACAAAAATAAGTATTTTAAGACTTATTTAAAAACCATTTTTTATCTAATTTAAGGAGAATTCAAGAAGTTTTTGGAAGTGTCTGGCTGACAACCCTTAAGTCAAATTCTGCTTAGCTCTAAATGAGATACATGATATAGAGCATCTGTATAACCTCCCTTCCTGGTCCACCATCATTCCTCCACTCTAGTCAGTACTTGAGATAATTCCTGCACTCATCACATTTCTTCCAAGGCATATGGAGTGTTCATAACCACAGCAGACCCCAAAGCTGGCAAGAAGGATGAATCCAAGCAGCTATGTTGCAGGTTTTGATGAGCAGAGCAGTTCCACTGTTGTGTTTAGAGCCAGTCATGGTCAATGTGGTTCTCTCTGACCGTGCAGACGAGTTTTTAGCTTTTGGGACTGCAGATCTTTTTGGATAGCGCCCATTGAATCATAAAGCAATAACAGATTAGAATAGACCTTCAGCACATGTACCAACCCTCCAGCACAGAAATCCTGTCAGGAAGTCATGAGTGGTTCAGAATCATGGACTTAAGCACTGCAGATTCACTAGTCTCTCACCTGTCTACCTTTGGGTAATAAAAAGATTTGATTTACTGCACCAAGGGAAATTGCACATAGCTACCCTCATCTTGTTTACTGATGTTTTCACTGTGACAGCAAGCCACTGTTGGTGGTTCAAGCACAAGGTAATTCATCACTTATTTCTCAGTAACCTCCTCCAAAGATAAAATACCCCTCTACTTGACAAAAAGACAAGTTCAGGAATGTAGGTGCTAGTGCTTAAGGATTACAGTTGTGTGGAGAATGGCAAGGGGTATAATAATGAAATCTCTCACTTTTCTCTGTGATCTAAGAAGTGATCTAAGGAGCTGGCTACAAAACAGCTTGGCACAATGGTCATGTTTCTGCTGATAGGTCAATAGGACAATGATGCCTATTTCAAGTCACTTATACCAGAAAAGATCAAATTTGATCACTTATACAATATTATTCCTGTTTTTTAATGCCTGGAACTAGGGTGTCTTTCTAAGCAGAATAAACTGCATCGATTCACTATAGCTACACATTTGTCTCCTATCACGTTTATAAAAAGCCCAAAGGCTTTTAAGAGCATCTCTTTTGCTCTGTTCATGTACAACAGCCACAGATCTGTGAAAGTCAGACTGCTCTAATACAGAATTAACCAGTAGACTGTTCAAAGTCCCAAATCTCTTTCCATTCCTTCAAAGCAAATCCTTGCCTCTAAGCAAATTGCTTTCTAACAGAACACCATGCAGTGATAAGGCAACTCCCTGCACACCACACACCACACCACACAAACTCATGGTTTCCAGAATTGTAACCAGGCCACTTCCCTAAAAATTGCCAGTCTTGCTTTTCAGAAGACTGATGAGACCTTGTTAAGCAGTGACAAATTTCCACACCAGGCTGTGTGTAACAAAACACTATGACACAAGTTAAGAACCCACTGTGGAATACACCAAACCCTTTTAAACTGGAATTCAGAGCAAAGAGAATTCAGCATCCCTTGACAGAAGTCACACATCTACAGTTTTTTTTCCAGAGGTTGAGATAATCACATTTATCAGGGAAAAAGAGAGAGGAGTAAGCAAGTGCTATATCTAGAATGGTGGATGTGCCCCTGAAAGCCTGACTGATTAATAAACAGGGTGGAGGTCACAGTGTGCTGTGAACCACACCAAGGTCTGTCTTCTTGCAGGGATTCCAGTGCCTTTGGAGTGTAAACTGCATATTCATCATCAGCTCCAGGTTTATGAAGTAATCAAAGCTAAAGGGAAATACACTGTCACTGTAAATAAGAACAAAAGAAACGAAGCTGGAATGCACATTCAGCATATGCTCTTTCACAGCTATCTCTGTGAACAGAATATGAATTAACACTTTCCCTCCTGGATTCTCGTACTGTACCTGTTGTGATGCTGGTGCCAAGTCATCTCTCATTAAAATCAAATAATTCTTCCTCACCTACCCAACACTGCTCAAAACCCAGTGGGATCTGCACCATTAAACAAAGTTGAATTTAACACAGTATCTTTCAGTGCTCTGCTGATGCCATATTAATTTAATGTGCTGCGAGGCTGGCAACAAATGCAAGGCAGAAAATGCAGATATATAAGGAAAATTAGTAGCAGTAGAGGGAAAGAGAGAAAACCAACCTATCTGCTTCTGAAAATAAGCCCCTCAGGGTAGGTGGCAGAGTGAAGTACAAACCCCTGCCCACCTCTCAGCACACCAAAGAGGAGTAAGCCAACACTGAATACAGAAGAGACTGCTCTGCAAAGTAAAGGAAGGGGTTTCAGCTTTAACACAGAAAACCTGGGCTCAATGCCATTGCCAGGTTTTCCAGTCAGGAGAAAAACAGTACACCATTTCCGTACCACAAGCCTGTTGCACTACTCTGTATTATTTATCTGCGGTATTCACCTTTAGAAGGACAAAAATCATAGTTTTTTCCTTGTAGCAGTCCCATAATAGGCACAATTAACAGAAAACCCATTGAAAGTACCAGTTCTAGCTTGGGACATAGTTCAGCGACCATCAGCAGAAGTACAAAAAAAAATACCTCAGCAGTTAAAGTATTCATAACATACAGCAGCTCAAATAAAAAGTTGGAAGATGATGTTAAGTTTCAAACTAATTTTGCAGTATAACACTAGACCTGCAGTCGTGTTTGTTGGCTACTCACAACGGTCAGTCCAAGGACAGATGAGTGGCTGCATAAGCACAAAGTAGGTGCAAAGCACTCTGCTCCCAGCAGTCCTGCTGCACAGATGCCACACTGCAGCAAGACAGCCCCAGAAATAAAAAATGAAGGGATTGTAGTCCAAAAATTCAGGGGGTTGGGATGGATGCATCTCATCAGCAAAGCAGGCAAACAGCTAGATAACAAGGAGAGGCCAGGAGATATGTATCTGTGTGCATGCGTTATCACCGGGGCTGAGAAACTGGTTATTTTTTTGTGGATTTGCAAAACAGCCCATGATAGAGCACTGAGAAGACACTGGAACTAAACAGCATTTGACCTTTGCTTTGAAATTAACTATTAGTCTCTTGCAACCTTGATCCATGTCAAGTAAGTGCATCCAGGAAATTCTGTCCATTACTGTACTGTACTGTTACCACACTAACACAATAGGCTGTGTTAAACAGAATAAATGCGTTCTGAAATGAGGTCTACTTTTACCAGAGGTGATGCAGAGCTCTACAGACAAACTATAGCTATTAACCTGAATGGTTTTCTCTGCAAGACCTTTTCCTCTTCTATTTACTTTCTTTTCCACAGAACCTCTCCCTCACTGTTACCCTCACAGCCTTCAGTAGCGCCATGTGAGCCAAAGGTGACCAAAACTGAGAATAACCATGCTATAGGAGATGCCTACATGTGACTATCAATTTTGCACAAAAATACAAGCTTTATGTGTAACACAAATGTCCTCAGTATCTAACTCCAACATATTGGAAATAAATCCAAGGAATTCTCAGCACTTTCATGCAAAAAAGGATATGAAAGGCTAAGATGTTTGAGCTCATTTTTAATGTGCTTCAAGGCAAGGAAAAAGCGAGATAGCTGGTTTTGTAGTTCCAAGGACACATTCAGAATAAAACAAAAAGACATCACCCACATAATTCAAACAGGCAGTGGCTGAGTGTGAGGTGACTCTGCCATGACCAGCTCGTCATTAACACCATAACACAATGAATAAATTGATAGAATTTCTTACTTTTGTTCCCTAAGATTCCTTTTCCCTGAAGAGCACTCCACGAGACCATCACCAGTCTGGTATCACAGACTCAGGGATAGACTGTTGCAGTAATCAGTGACAAAAAAAAATGTTTAAAAAGGTAGGACTTTTTTCCTCAGGGTGAAACCACACCTGAAGAGAAGCGTCACAAACTGATGTGTCAGCAGAAATCCTTCCCCCTGGCCTCCATGGGTCATCAGAAGCAAACTGCGAATACACTAATAGATTGCACAGGCTCTCCTCATCACTGCTCCTCTTCATTGTCAGGCCTCTTCCAACAGCAGACGTGTCCTAACTGCTTGGCTGTACAGAAACCACCATGTGCAGATGCTTGTCTTCAGTTTTACTACAGCAGTGTAGCATCCATAAGCTCCTGAGTTTCTACTTTCTTTTTTGCTGCTGGGCTTAAGATCGTCTTTCCAACAGCTCAGCAATAAAGGAGAATCACATGGAAATTACCTTACATTGTATGGCCAGTGCTGAATTACCCTGCCTTCCTATTTTAAGTGAAGTGTAACCTCCTGTAATCTTTACTGTTGAAGGAAAACAAAAAAGGAAATAACTTTAATTCTTTCCTTAAGAGCTTATACACAAATAAAATTCTCCTGTTTCCTAGGAGTAACAGCATTTTTCCCTGTTTCTCCTTTTCTTTCTTTTCTTTACAAACATCAGCTTCTGTGAAGCTGTTCAAAATTCATTTGTAGAATGTTTTACACATGTAGAAACTTTCAATGTCAGTAAGATCTATTTGTCTTCTGCAAACACGTACACCCTGTGAATGCAAGTGCTCATAAGTGTAAGCCTACCTCTCTACTGAATCCCAATGAAATGTTTAAGAGACAAAAACCTGTTATAAAATAGAGGGAAAATTAGTCCCATATTCTCTTACTTTTCATGACAAATATTTTGTTTGCTATTTCAGAGAAACCCTAAATAAGCAGTAGAAATCACTACTGATTTCTGACCCCAATTCTCTTGTACAGAAATAATGCAGCCATTTAAATTATGTTCTGTAGTCTGCTGAATCTTACATTATTTATTAGTTTTCTTAGTTTCTACATCCCACGTATTGCAGGTATTTGCTCTTTTCTTTAGGCTTTCCTGTGTAAGCTAAAGCAGATTTAAAAATGCCCCTCTGGTGGGTAAGGTCACTTTGTTAAACACCGATGTGACCCCTGTGTGTTTGCATATATATAAATTCCCTCTATGACA